GTGTGTGTGTGTGTGTGTGTGTGTGTGTGTGTGTGTGTGTGTGTGTGTGAGAGAGAGAGAGCAAGAGAAAGAGTGAGGGGGGGAGGCAGAGAGAGAGGGAGAGAGGGAGGGATCATTTGCGCACCAGAGCTTGTTTATGACTCCTTCTGTTTCACTGGGCTGCTTTTGCGCAAATCGCGTGTTATTTCATGCACAGTTCACATTTGCAGTGTGTTGTCTGTTTTTTTTGTGTATTTGCATTTCTATAAGAGTCGTAGCGTCCGTGTACGCGCGTGCGTAAAGACCCACAGACCCGCGCGCTTCGCCTCGACGCACCGGGGACCCCTGCGCGCAACAAGAGCCCCCCATGGGTGCAATAGTGCAAGCGCAGACGGCGGTGATTGGCCAGAGGTTGATCAGATGGTACACTTCCCCTCCGTGTTCAGTGGCACCTCACAACCCCCCCTCTCAGCAAAAACCAAATCTCCGATAAAGTAATGGCAAAACCACTTGGACTATAAAAGACAACAAATCATATTCCTCCGGAGTATATACACCCCGTTGTCCACCCAATGAGTTCCTATTTTGTTAACTCAACTTTTCCCGTGTCTCTACCGGGAGGACAGGACTCTCTCCTGGGTCAGATACCGCTCTATTCCTCGGGATACACGGATCCGTTAAGACACTACTCCAGCGCGGCCACATATGGAGCAGCAGCCAACATGCAGGAGAAGGTTTACCCGGCGTCCTACTACCAGCAGACGGGCGCAGCGGCCGCGGCCATCTACGGCCGGGCCGGTGGCGGAGCCGCCTGCGACTACAACCCGGTGGGGACTTTCTACAAGGACGCGGAGGGCTCGTGCGCCTTCTCGAGCCGCGAGGACCAGCCGCTGTTTGTCACTCAGGAGCACCAGCAGCGCAAAGCCGAGTGCCCGGAGCAGAGTGTCAGCATGGGCGGCGGCATCGACGACAAGTCCTCCACTCTCATCTACCCGTGGATGCAGAGGATGAACGCCTGCTCCGCCGGTGAGTACCAGACGTTTAGCCGTGTTGTTGTCCCGGTGCCCGGAGGTGCAGGAGGTGCGTGAAGTGCGCACGCCGAGCCCCAGAGTTACCTGTCAGCTGCGGAGCGCGCCACACGCACCCGCACATTTAGCTTAACATTTACAGAGAGTGCGTGGAGAGATGAGATGCTCAAAGACACGCACATAGTTTGTAATATCACTGCGCACGGATCTTTCCTGCGCCTTCAGGGCTTCAGCTACTACATCATCACATCGACCACACGTGCACGTACTCACACGCACGCACACACAGCTTGGGCCTGCATCACCCGAGCTCCAAACTTTGATGGCACTCGTCCTCAGACTGGGCCCTTTTCAGAAATATCACAAAAAAACCACACAACTTTCTGGAGCCAATTAAATGTCAAACACAATTAAATGTTGTTCAGTGTGTGAATAAGAAAACAACACAAGAGGCTGAGCAGTTTAACAAAGTTTGACTCTTTGGTGTCACAGAACAATTTACTGAGGGGATTCAGCTTTATGCCACTTTTACGCACCAGGTCATTCAGATTATGGACAAGCACGTGAACTAAATCCTTGAGAGGGATTTTAAATATAGTTAGAGATGATTATAAGAAGTCACGAGCACAATAAAGTCAT